CTTGAAATAAGAAATTTAATGCTATTAACTTGTATAGCTTTAGCTATATCCTTACGATTTGTATTGTTTCTCAAAATATTGATGTTGTGGCTTATAGTTTCTCTTTTCTGGGGGGAAGAAGAGGCAAATTGGGGTCGGGGGAAGGCAGAGGAAGAGGTCGAGAGAATCCCAAGCAGGATCCACTCTTAGCACGGAGTCCAACGTGGGGCTCAATGTCATGACTCCAAGATTGTTAGGAGTTAGTTGGACAGTTAGATAGTCAGGTCCAGGATCCCCAACAGGAAAACATGGAATCAGGGCATCTAAGACAAAACAGCACTAACATCCTGTTTTGCAGCTTGGACAGGACCATCAGCAAATAGTGATCGAAGCCCTGAATAGCACACCTTGGTTGCTTAAAATAGTTTCATGTCACTATCACAAGCTGAGGCAGTTAAGTCCCCAGATGTCAGCCCAAGAAGAACATCAGCACATGAACATTAACGTAATAGGTAGACAGATACATGATCAAAGCCCTGACTGGCATGCCTTAGCACACCCTAGTTGCTTAAGATAGTTCCACAAAGGAGTTCTTAAAACTCCCTAGACTTAGAAATTCCAACAGAAACCCGCTAGGTTCCCCTCCCTCTTCAGGAGCTTTGTACTATCACCCAATAAACTTTGCTTTGCTGCCTACCACTTTTCGTCTGGTCTACTCCTTCATTCTTTGAAGTAGCATGACCAAGAACTATGGGCAATAAAGGAAAAGAAATCCTGAAACAAGATCATGACTTGAGTGGAAATCAAGAATTGGACACTTAATCGACTAAGCCACCCAGGTGCCCCTATATTTCCTCTTTGACCCCAAAATTGAGAAAAGCATGATGGTGACGGTATTTTTATTTTTATTTCTTTAATTTTTTACTTTTTCTTTATTTTTTAGTAGGTTCTACCCCCAAGGTTGGGGCTCAAACTCGCAACCCTGAGACCAAGAGTTCTATGCTCTACCGACTGAGCCAGCCAGGCGCTCCCTCTTTTATTTATTTATAGGTTTATTTGTTTGTTTTTCAGTAAGCTATGGTGGCATTTTTAAATGAGAAAATGAAAAAGTCTTTCTGGGTTTTATCATTATTAACTTTTTTCTTTTCTTATTTTTCTTTTTTTTTTTCTTTTGCATTGTGGAACTTAGGGATTTTTCCAGCTTTAATGAGGTATACCTGACAAATAAAATGCAATATGTTTAAAGATGATATCACATACAATATATCACATACAATGTGATGTTTGATACACATACACATTGTGAAATGATTCCCACAATCAAGCTAATTAACATCTATCACCTTCCATAGTTAATTACCTCTTCTTTCTTTGTGAGAATGTTTAAGATCTACTATCTTAGTAAATATCAAGTATACAAACAGTATTATTTATTATAGTCACTATGCTGTGCACTAGGTTCCCAGAATTTATTCATCTTATGACTGGAAGTTTGTACTGGCTAGCATTTCCCTATCTTCCCAATTTCCCCCCCACCCCACCCCACCAGCCCCTGGCAAACACCATCCCACTCTCTGTGTCTATGAGTTTGACTTTTTTTTTTTCCACATGTAGGTGATGCCACAAAATATTTTTGTCTTTCTTTGTCTGGCTTGTTTCTTTTAGCATAATGCCCTCCAGGTTCATCCATATTGTCACAATTGGCAGGATTTCCTTCTTTCTACAGCTGAACAATAATCCTGTGTCTATATGTGTATGTGTGTGTGACACTTATAAACATTCATCCCTGGACAGGGACTTATGTTGTTTCCATACACTGGCTACTGTGAATAATGGTACAATAAACATAGCAGTGCAGATCTCTTTGAGATAGTGATTTTGTTTCTTTTGAATATATATTCAGAAGTCGGACTGGTAGATCATATGGTAGTTCTATTTTCAACGTTCTGCAGAACCTCAATACTGTTTTCCACAGTGGCTACACTATTGCCAGCAACTGTGCACAGGTTTTCCCTTTTCTCTGCATCCTCACCAACATTTGTTATCCCTTGTCTTTTTGAGACTAGACATCTGCTAGGTGGGATGTGGTATCTCATTGGGGTTTTCATTTACATTTCCCTGGTGATTAGTGATGGTGAGCGTCTTTTCATGTACCTGTTGACCATTTGTATATCTTTGGAAAATCGTCAATTTTCTTGATCTTCCATAGTCATGTATATTTTCAGGAATAATAGATCCATACATATCAATTACATCTACCTCACTAATTGTGTTATTAAGATTTCTATATCTTGGGGCACCTGGGTGGCTCAGCCAGTTAAACAGCTGCCTTTGGCTCAGGTCACCATCTCAGGATCCTGAGATGAAGCCTGACATTAGGCCCCCTGCTCAGCGGGGAGTCTGCTTCTCCCTCTCCCTCTGCTGCTGAACCTTGGCTTGTGCTCTCTTACTTGCATACTCTCTCTCTCAAATAAATAAATAAAATCTTTTTTTTAAAAAAAGATTTCTATATCCTTGCTTCTTTCTTTTGCCTACTTGCTCTGTTATGGACTGAAAGAAGTAAGTTAAAGTCATCTACTACTATACTTTAATCTTTATTTGCTTTCTTATCCTGTAATTTCAGTTTAATAAATATTAACGATGTGGGTTTTTTGTGAATAGATATTTGTTACTTTTTTATCAAGTGCACACTGCTATTATATAAAAAGCAGTAGTCTCACTTAATAGTCTTTGGCTTTAACTAACATTCTTGTTTGATACTGAGATTGTGACCTTCCTTGTTTTTTCTTAGTTGAAGTAGGAGGCATGTTTCAGATATACCTTTGCCCTTTCTTTTATTTTTAGTGTTTCTGAATCACTCTATCTTAGATGTTTTTCTTATATAGTTTGCTTTGTAGTCTCATCTGAAAATATTTTTTAATAGGTGATTTGAACCTATTTACATTTAGTAATATAACAAGTATATTTGGCCTTTGGTCTGTCATATTGTTAAACCTTATGTGTTCTCTGCTTTCTTGAGTTTCGCAGTATGCATTTGTTAATTTTTTTGTGTATTTCTTCTTCAGAAGGTTTGTGGGAAAGATGGGGTTATAGTGATCTGAACTTGTCCCTCCCTCCTTGGGGATACCTAAGGCAGTTTTGACCTGGCTGGAATTCTTACAAATATTCACTGATGGAATTTACTAATTAAAAGAAAAATGAGAGTGTGTTGGGGAAAGTCTTCAAGAGGATATAACTGCTGGCTGACCTGTGAGCTGAGCCCGGGCACTCAGAACTCTTTACCTCTCCCCTGAATTTGAATGTGAGTTCTACTTCCCTTTCCCACCGGAGGCTGCTCCAAGGACATAGCCTTGAGATGGTGATGTGGTGAGAACACCTGCAGGGTATGTGTGACTGAACTCCTCTAAGGCCTCTATAAACTTTTAAGTTTTGGCAAACAGGTACCAAGATCCATTTGTCTTGCTGCCTACCAAGAAAATCCTCATATGTAAGTTCCCTTCCTTATTAAACCTGCTACCCACCAACCTGGAATGGCTGGCCAGCCTCTTTCTTCATCTCTCCCTGCCCTCCATGTTTGGGGGCTGATTTCGGATTACACCTGGGAAAGTTCTCAAGGAGCTTGCAATCCAACAGGGTATTACAAGGTTACTTTATACTGAGTTACTGCTTTTTAATTTTCTTCCTTTTTCGTTTGACAGCTCACATCGTATCTCTTCCCTTGGGTTTTTGTGTTTCTGCTTGGTAATCCTCCTTCATGGGGGCAATTGATTTTTTTAAGAGTTCTTTTTTCTTTAACTCAAGACAAAATATTTTGTTAAAATGTTCATCTATTGTCTTGCAAGTTTCTTTGTTATTCTTCATTTGATCAGTTTTGCTCATTTTTAAATTATTTTGTCTTTCCATGATTCTTGGTCAACTATTTTTTATTATTCTTAGCATTGATTAGTTGGATTTTCCTGTTTGTTTTCAGCAAGTAGGTATTTTTGTTGTTTAAGTTTTAGGGTTTTTTTGGGTGGTGGGGGTTTGGGCTTTTTTGATGTTTTCTGAGATTTGCCTTTGCTTGCTTTCCTCATACATCTTCTTTGTTGTTGTCCAGAATCAAAGATCACGTATTTTCTAATAACAAAAAATGTAACCCTGTGCTTAATGCATAAGGTTCTACCATACATTTTTATTGCCTCTCTTCTCCTACGCTGACATAATTTCTATTCAGTCCCCACTTCTATTTCCCAAATCCGTCAGCTCCTGATATGTGCAAGAAATGCTTTTGTAGTACTTCTGTGTGTATCCTTACCTACAGGAAGTACATTTTTGAAATCTACTACCATATGGCCACCTTTCTACTCGCTTCCATTAAGCAGCCTCTGAGCTTACTTCAGGTGCCTTTGCAGCCCTGATCTCTTGAAACTTAGATCTTATGTCTCTCTTTTTTTTTTTTTTTTTGCTTAAGTGATATTTAATACATTCCCTCCTCATCTATTGCTTCCTTATAATGTACAAGAGAGGATTACTGTCTCAAACAAATAAGTTTATATTGGAATTCCAAGTATATTTTTCTTTAAAGAGATTTCTTTTTTATTTTTTTCTTTTACTGGTTCTTGAGTTAGAAACCTAATTATGGGGTCCTCTCAAGACAAAACATACACAACAAAGAGTTGGCTTTCTCTTTGAGAAGAGAACTAAAATGACCCACATCTACCAGTCTTCTCATTTCCCTTCATCTGAAAATGAGCAGGCTTTGCTATGAATATAAACCAGGACTTTCTCTTTAAACTTTCCTGTACCTTACTTTCTTCATTCAGATTTCTTGGAGATTATTCAATAACATCAAACAAAGCTTTAATTATTTTTCAATATGATATATTAGCCCAATATATGAATTTCCAATAATTAATTTGGCAAGTTTTAGTAAGAAAATTCAAGTCAAGAAATCTTTATTCAAGTCTGAAGTTAGAATGACATACTTTAAGTAGTGATAAATAACATTTCAAGGTAAATGAGAAAGACCCTGCCTTTTATTATATGAAATGTTTATAAATATAATGGTTTTAATTTGCTCTATCTGCATGAAAATATCCGTAAGTAGAATTCCAGGTAAGCATGAATGTCTGCTTTCTCAGTCATCTACACCTATAATGGGCCTGCTCACATGAAGGGTATCAGGTTATCCAGATTACAATGATAGAAATACCAATAAAGAAGTGAACAACGTTCATGGTACAACTTCACTCCTATAAAATCTTGGCAAATGTTACCCAAATGTAGCCTTTTCTTCAAAACCCAAACAACCTGTTATCTTCCCATTTTCCCTTCCATATATGACAGGCATGATTTTATACTTCGCTGTACATTCTTTGACCTATTAATCACTTACTTAATTTCTTTTCTGCCACCTTCCACAGACTTAAAGAACAGACACACTCAATATAGTAGAAAACTATAAATATATAAAAGTTGAGTCCAGGAAAATTCAGAAAAGCAAACTGAAGTAGAAAGTTAAACTATGAATGTATAGACTATTACTTATTAGGAGTGGAAAGTGGTAAGAATAGTTTACTGTTTACCAAAATCAGGTTTTCTTCTTGGGCATGCATTTAGCTTGCACTCCCTAGCCTCCCTGCAGCTGGAGGCCTTTGTTTTAATTTCACCCAGTAGGATGTGAATACACAAGATATGTGCTACTTGGTCTATGAAAATCTTCCTTGTGAAAATCTTCCATACTCCTTCCTCCTTCTTCTTGACTGTGAAGGACATGACTATAATGACATCAGAAGCCCTGTACTGAGGATGGCAGAGCCTCTGTTATGCTAGGGCCTTAAATAACTGTGTGGAAGAGAGGAGTCCAGCTGATTCACATACCTGCCCAAAATTGTCATCTGAGCCATGGCACAAATTTTGATTGTCTTTGAGCCACTAGTCATGATGTGTTTGTCACTTTAGCCTAGTATAGCACAAATAATACATGTGACTGACACAAAACACAATAAACCCACATTTTCTATTTGAATTTCAGCAGATCTTTTAATAAGTAGGAAATAGTCTAGGCAGATGTTTATCCAGCAAATAGTTCAAGGCATGGGTTAGTCTTGGTTTTCAACACTGGAGTAGATCTAAGTTGGCACAGGGGAATAACTGACTTTCCAAAAGGTTAAACCCAGAATACTTGGGCAGTGTTACCTTATGCCTCAAGAAGCTTCTGGGGCAGGAGGTGTTCAGTTGAAGGACTTTATTTGTTCAAATAACACAGGACCATAACCAGAGACTAAGGAGCCTACATTACCTGTGAGTCATCGAGCTGCAACCAGGAAGAAAAACTATGGTCAGTGTCTGGAGTCAAGCAAGTTGGCAAAATCAAGAACCTAGCAGGATGGCAGGTCAATATAGAAGCCAAGAAATCTAGGATCTAGGCCGCTGGGTTCAAATCCCAGCTTCATTCCTTACTAATTATGGAGTCTTGTGCAACTTATTAATGTCTCTGGGCTGGTCTCTTTCTTCTTCTATAAAACTTGGATAATAAAGCTATATGTCTCAAAGGGTTGCATGAAAATTAAATACACCTAAAGTTTAGTGTCTAGCATATGGTAAACAATCAATAAATGATGACCACTGTTTATTAAGACAAATGAGAAAGATGATAGAGCACACCTTGGGGAATTAGGCTCTGGCATAAACCAGGAGCAAGGCCAGAAAGGGTAAGAACCAGAGTTTTGCTCAATACAAATTCCATCTGAGGCTGTTGCCTTTGACCTTTGGTCTTGCCCCATCTGGATGTAAGGTGTGGAGTAGCATATAGGAGCAAACAGGTCACTTACATGGGGCAGGGGGCAATAGCAGCAGGTATCACCTATCCCTGAGGGAAGGACCCCCAAGGCCTGGCAGACTCAGAGGGGGACACCAGGCAGTGTCCGTTCATTGAGATTTACCAGGAAAAGAGGGCTGAAAAGTGGAGCTTGTATGAGTGTCAGAGTTTCAGATCTTCTAAATATCAGCTGTGTCACTTTGGGGTAAGTCTTTGAAACTAATTTTTTCTCACCTAAAATATGATAGTGTTTAAAGAACTGCATTATGACTAAATCAGATAACATTATCTTATGAAATACCTAATAGGTCATAGCTCAATAAATCTTTAACACATGTCAGTGGAAGGGTGGAAACGTGTCTATATGGTCTGTGCTGATGGGTAAGTGGCTGGCCAGGCATGGGAAAAAATCAGTTTATTCTAAAAAACACACTTAGAGCATTACTAGTTGTGAATAAACATTTAACAATGTCCAGTGTATGCTGAGTTGGTTTATACTTAAGAATCTGTGAACAAGTGTAAGCTCCACCCAGTAGACCAGCTTCAGAAACTTCCATTTCCTCAGCAGCATCCCCTGTTCCTAGGGCAGCTCTGAGCCATGGTCTGGGACACCTTTCTGCTTCTTCCCTGCTCCAAGAGTCTCCCCATGGAGACTCCATCATATTCTATCCTACCCCTGTGTTATGGCTCCCAGCTCACAGACAGAAGTTACAGGTGTCTATATTTGCATTCTCTTTAGTATGAAGCATTCAACCCCTCCACTCTTGTGCTGGATCCGCCTCTGGAACCTTCTCAATGGCTGAGTTCTAGGGTACAATGAACATCTATTGCAGACTTTGCAAGGAAACTAATTCCATGGAAGTGGATTATCTTCCCCTTTGCTCCTACAAAAACTATATGATAAAAATCCATTCAGTATGAATAAGGAAGCAAAGCAAGAAAAGTAGGGTATTACAGTAGGAATGAGTAAATTTGTAAATGGAACCTTATTTGAACTATGGAGTCACCAGCCTATGACTGGAGAAAGGAGATAACATTTATATTTCTGCTCCAAAACGACTCCAATCCCCACCTTGTGAAGGAAATACCCCTAAGTTTTTCTGAGTGTTCACAGTAGGGCTGACCACGCAGCCTTCCTCAGCAATTACCACAAAAGCCTTCTTGAAACATCAGTCTTCTCTTCAAGCTGGTGTTCACCATCTGCAAAGGTCCTGTTTTTCCTGCTTACCAAAGGCCTGGAGATAGAACCTTCTGGATTTATCTTTTTTTTTTTCTTTTTTATCATACATCCAGGCAGCAGATGTTCAGTGGAGTCCAAAGCAGTATCCCCTGTATTGCCACAAACTCTATGACTGGATCTTTAGAGCCAGTAAGGGAAGGATGTTTATATACTGACAGCCTCCTTTTATATCCTCTCGGGATACAAAGGGGTCCCTCGGGAACAAGGACAGTTTGGTTAGAGCAGTAGGCTCTTTTCTTTACTCTGAATTCCAATTGATTTATAACCCTCACAGTGACCCCCAGAGCAGAGAAGACCAAGCAGGGCAAACCTGGCAATCCCAAGTAATTGATGCTGACCATCGGCACTGCTGACAGGCTTGAAGCCCCTTACCTTTGAATTCATGTGTTATACAAGGCCAAAACCCTCTTTTCCTTACTCCTCCCTAAATCTCACTGAGTTTCCACCAAGTACCTCTACCACACCTCCATCAGACTGTCCCACGGAGCTGCCGACTTCTTGCTCAAAGCACACCTCCACCACCACCTCCTTTGAGGAAAGCGGTTTGACCTCCTACTTGCATATGTTGGGCATTGTGCTATCCGTTGTTGATGTCTATTGTTAGTTGGTTTTATTCCAATTTTGCATAAACCATAGTGTAAGTCTAAGATACAAATTTTGCAAGGAACAGGATGCTGTCATAGGCAATAACTTGTTGCTAAATGACCTTTTCTTCACTTGTTTTATCATACCTTTCATTCTTACAGACATCAACTGGCATTATATTGACCCATTTCCCACTTACTTTTGGCTTTTGGTGGGTTTTAGCACAAACATTTTTTCCTATATATTTATGACCAAACTTACTCCTTATCATTCTATTTTCTGTTCCTTCACTTATTTCTTTTGCTTCTTTCATTTTATTTATTTTTTAAAGCTTTATTTATTTAAGTAATCTCTGCACCCAATGTGGAGTTCTAACTCACAACCCTGATATCAAGAGTTTCATGGTCCTCCAACTAGACCAGCCAGGTGCCCTTACTTTTTTAATTTTAAAATCTTAGAAATTAAAGTTCAGTTAAAATTCACATTCTGTGGCATATTTTCCCTTTATTTTTTATCATTTTCTTTTTACTTTTTAAATACCTTTGATACTTTTTCACCACCATGCTTTTCTTGTTTGAGATTGCCCACTCAAAATTTTTTTCATCAGTGTCCATTTAACATTTTCTGACACCTGTAGGATTTTCTCCCCTTGGGGTGAGTCCTAGTCAGGTCTACTGAAGGTAGAGAAGCTGGTTCTGATTGGCCATCTGAGGCACACAGCCACATAGTAATAAAAACAATAAAGAGATAGGATGCAAAGCCCCTGCCTGTGCAAAGTAAATCATTATTAAATAAATGGCCATAGCCAACATGACATAATTTGCAATAGGGCACATGTGCTGGCCAGTTGATAAAACTCAGCACAGCTTTCAGGGGATGCCTCTGTCCACAGTGCAACCACTGCCAGTAATACTTAAGATTGTGATTTACTGCTAGAAAGATAAGAGCAACAACTCTTAAAGGTCATCCCTGGAATAACCAGACATCCTGGTTCTTTCAATCCACTGGCATCCTTGGCTAATCAAATAAATCACACTTCACAGAGATTTTTGGAATATTGATAATGTGTGATACCATTTCTGACTGTGTCCTGCTACAGGTCCTTCTCTTTATAGGGAAAAACAGGATCTGGCATTTTCAAACTGTTGGTTATAAAACTTAAGTGTAGGCCTCACATGATTTGTATTAATCAATATATAGTTTTTTAAGTAAAAAATTTCAGAAATCAGATATGTTTTTCAGGTAAATTTGTTATATCTTTTTTATATCGTTATGGACTTACAGCTCACTGACACCTCTTTCAACACCTAGGACCACAAACTAATGTTGCTTTTTTTCCCCCAATGCCCAGAAATATGAAATCAACTCTTCTCCAAGGGCATTGTCTTTCACTAGAGAATGGTTTTAGAAATCACAGGCACTAGTTCTACAAATAAGCTTGTTTCACATACTGACTGGAATTTTGAAGGATGATAGCAAAAATGTCCAACAGCATGAATCACTGTAGGGATGAACAGATAAACTCTCCTTTAAAAAATGTTCAGAATTCTTATTGATATTTCCAATTCACCTCCATTTGAATAAGTTCCTCTTGCCTTACTCTGATAGAAGAGTTTATTAATCCATTTCAATTATTCAACAACTAATTTTCCTTGTTTTCATTAATGTTAATTTTTTTTTAAAAAAAAGGCTGTATTATCATAACAAACCATGGGTCTAAATATCAGTGTTGCCTCCCCCAAATTCAGAAAGCTCCATATCTTTTCTTCTGTCTTGACCATAAGCTCAGCCATCCTGAAACTGGCTCCATAGTGTACAGGTTCCATCAATTTTTTGATCAGCATTGCCTTCACACCAATATCTGGAAGGGAAACAGTCCTAGCCTTTGTCTAGGGGAACACCAAAGAAATTCAGAGTTCAGAGCACTCAGTGTGATACATTGATACCTTGTTTGCATAAAAAAAGATAATAGTACAATGCAAATAATACACAAATACCACTTCTTAAAATTGAAAAAAAAATCCACTGTCAATTATCTCCCTTTGAGCTCCCAATTTGAATTTATTTTATTTTCCCTTTGTATTTGTTCTTCCACTAGTGCCTTTGTATATCTATGGGGCAGAATTTTTAGTAAAAAAAACTGCAATTTCACAAATGCCCATGGGTACAAGTGGGTACACCAACTTACAAGGGTCGGCTGCATACATCATCCCTGATTCTGCTCTCAGTGACGTCACTCTCACAGCCTGCAATCAGCCATAGTGAAAGTGTTTAAGTCATGGAAATTGACAAACACTATGGATCAGGGCTTTCCACCCAAAAAGTCGATTGTTAAGCATTTACCAGGACAACTCTGAGTTCTGCTTTGGGTCAACTCCGTTTTTCCCAAACCAGTCAAAATATCAGAACATAAAACCCATTAACATACAGAATTATCAGAGTTATTATGCCAAATATTATGGTCAAGAATCCCCACTTAAGAAGTTTACATAGAATAGCTTTTGGAGCTTTATGTAATTTTTGCAATATTCACTGCATAGTGCTTGCCAGAACCAAACCTTAGAAGACAAAAAAAAAAAAATACAATTGGATTATAGCACATTTTAGTTAAAATATCCATTTAGTTATCCACCAGTTTCAAGTAATTTCCAGATATTTTTGATCCATCCCCAGGGCTTTTATTTCCACAACAGACATACACAGAGAATTCAGTAATTTCTACTTATTAACATTTCCATGCTAATATCCAATTTTTTACATGCATTAGTACTACCATGCTCTTTCCTTCTCAATTTTGCATTTCATAATAGCTATCTTCTGAGTGTATCTATCTGGAGGATAGAGCTCTGAGTATGAAGTCTGGTTTTGCCAAAATCCAAAACGGGTGGAAGGAATATTGAGTTTCCTTATTGGGTCTGAGTGGGACTAGCTCACTAATTTGTTCTTTCTAGTGGTCTGTTATGGAGCCCCAGTGTCATTCCCAGAAATGTAACAGCCTCACATATTTCATCATTAAAAAGTGTTCATAATAGAGGTTCTCATTTTGTTGTTCATTTAGCACCTGAGTTTAGGCAGGAGAAACATTTCTACATGAAGGCTCTGTGTAGTTCAATTCCCCTGCCTTTTTATTGCCACTTGCCCAGAGAAGCGGCCTCCCCAAGTAAAGAAGCCAGATGCTCTGGCCCCACCTTCCAGCTACCTTGGGACAGTATTTGGCCTGATTCCGCTTTGCGGAGGTATGGCCTTCTGAGCTGAATCGCACCTGAGTCTAGCATTCTTCTTCCCTACTCTCTGTCTTCCCTCTCTCCCCAGCCCCACCTTGAGCAGACTTTCTCTGGCATTGCCCCATATTCCCACTTACCTTTTAAACTTGGCTGGGTCTGGTGGTGCTCACTCAAAGACACAGAGCCAGGGCCTTGTTACAGCTTCAGGCATCTGCCTGTGCTTGGCCACCCAACCCCCAGCACAAGACTGCTTCGGATGCCCTTGCTTTCCTGTACTCTGAGCTTCCCTCTACTAATACTGCCCATTTTACATCCCTCCACATTCTACAACATTCCATTATCTTCTACTGTGCTTTCCTACCTATTACTACAGGAAGGTTAGGAGGGTTGGTATATTCTAACTCTAGTCCTTTGTCCACATGTCAGAAACCTGCTGAAGCCATAGCACAACCCAGGTCCAAAATGAGCAAGGGTTCTGTTTTCTAAGACATGTAACCTTGGAGAGACCCCCAGGCTAATTATTAGTCTCCCACTTATTCATCCATACACATTTGTGTCTGGCTAATATTGTTGACCATTTCTATATAGCTTTTCATTTCTGTTACTTCTTCAAAGCAGGAATTATTTCAAATCTTCCTACTGATTTCCAGGGGGATAGATATTTCTTGGATAGGCTTTCATTTTGTTGTCATTTTTTAATTCTATTCCATTATAGAGAGCATTTGAGATGTCATGGTTTCTGCTTATTGCCAAATTACAGTATTGTGCGTGGTTAAAATACACGCATAAGGCATCAGATTGCATTTACCATCTACTATTTGCTTTTTATATTCCTCATTTGTCTTACAAATTTGTCTACCTGGTGTAGGTATATGTGATTCATTTGTTTTTGTTTTGTTAAGGATTTTATTTTATGAATATACCATTGTTGATTTACTCATTTTGTTAGTGGACATTTTTATTAATTTCTTTCTCTTTCTCTCTTTTGTTTTCCAATAGCCAACAATGCTTCACTGAATAGATGTATCTGTGCCTCCTTTTCCTATGAATGCAAGTTTTCTCCAGGATTGGTACCTAAAGTTATAATTGCTTGATCATAAGTTATACAATATCCTCTTTTGCTAGCATACCCAGATTGCACCCCAGAAGTGTTATAATACTTTATAAATTTTCATCAGTGGCTTATCAGAATTTTTCCCAAATCTTTGCCAACACTGATAATTTTTAAATTTTGTCATTATGATGGTTATACAACAATATCTTTTTTGTGTGGATCCCTGAAGAAAGATATATATCTTCAGATTGAAGAAACTTGAATCCTAAGCAAAATAAATAAAAATAAGACTATATTTAGTGACATAGTGAAACTTCAGAAAATGAAGACAAAGAGAAAACTCTTAAAGAGAAAATAACAATTCACTTACAATGGAAGGACAAGTAGACTGACAACATATTTCTCATTGGCAGTGACAGAGGTCAGAAGACAATAGGGTGTTATCTTCACAAGGCTGTTGGAAAACAAACAAACAAAAAAACAAAAAAACAAAAAACCTATCACACTAGAATTCTATGTTATTCTCCCATTGTATCTGCACAACCTCAATTGGCGTCCCCCACCTTCTTCAGAAACAGATATTGGTCCTTGACTGAAGTATTGGGTAGGTGTCAGAAGCTGGGCAGTCTTGGAGCTTCATGCCCTCTGGTCACATGATTTGTTCAAAGAATATATATATATATATACACACACATATATATATGTATATAAGAGTAGGTATATAAACAAAGAAAGACAGAAAGAGCTCTCTTTCCATGCATCTTCTTTCTTTTGGTCTGTTCCATCTGAGAGTAATGAGAGGAAGCTTTTGGAGGAAGAGAGAGAAAGAGAGAGATTTAAAAGATTCTAGTCAGAGTTCATTGTTTAACTGACTGGAGGTATAGGAGTGGTAGAGGGCAGGTAGGCTGTATGGACAGGGAAAAATATAGCCCAGCCATTGTGAGAGATGGGAGACAGAGGCAACCAAAAAAGGCACCAGATGAAAGCACTGACCATGAGTGGATGAACTTTGATAGGCCCCACCTACCAACAACTTTCTAACCCAGGAAATGGAGTATCTCAATGTGTGCCTACTCCCTCACAAGCACAGAGACTCTGAATCTGATATCCTTGTGTTGTGTTTTTTTTATTCAAACTAAAGATAACATAGTCCGTTTCAGGGGCATCTGGGTGTCTCAGTGGTTGAGCATCTGCCTTCAGCTTAGGTAGTGATTCTGGGGTCCTGGGATTGATTCCCGCATCAGGCTCCCTGCATGGAGCCTCCTTCTCCCTCTGCCTATGTCTCTGCCTCTCTCTGTGTCTCTCATGAATAAATAGATAAAATCTTTTAAATCACAGAATTTCAGACCTGGAAATTTTCTGAAAGACACCCTTTCTTTGTATAGATGGGTGAATCAAAGACCACAAATTGAGGTACTTGGAGCAACATAGCTAGTTAGTGACAGATATAGAGACAGAACTCGAATCTCCTAACCCCCAAATCACTTCTTCTTCTCCTAGTCACACCACCTCTGCACCCATATGGGCTGAATTTTTGAAGTGGCTTTCCTAATGTGCCTGGTATAATTCTCTGTCTGAAGTAGGAATATTTTAAATGCTGGCTACTCACTATGTCCTTCTTTTCTCTTCCCATTTCTCTCCATTTTTCCTCTCCTGGAAAGTTCTTGGGTTTAATGTTAAAGTTGATGTCCTACAATCCTGCCAGTAAGCTGAAGACCCCACCACTGTATATGAGGGGGGTTAGCCCATACCATCATAATAAACGAATGGAGTGGGTACAGGTATCTTGGAGCAGATAATACACTGCTGTGGGAAAAACAAATGTGACCCAGCAATTTGGGGTGAACTCTGCTCCAAGTGCTCCTTAAATTCATGCTCAACAATAAGAAAAAATGCATCCCAATAAGAAAAAATCCTACTCAAAAAAAAAAAAGTGAAGTCTTTAAGAGACACTGGAGCAGAGACTATCTCACAATCCATTCTAATACTTGGATTTTGCCATCAAGTCTACTTTACTCTCTTTCCAAAGTCTGTCTCTTCATATGTCTTCTTTGGAGTTTCTTTCCTGTCTCCTCTGTCCTGAAAGCCCCATCCTTTGTCCGGAGCCCTTTAGCTCCATCTCAGGGTTACAAACAACACTTGGCAAGGCAATGTGTTTTGGCTAACCAAGTATTTCACGTTCCTCAACGCTGCCCCACCTTAGGGATCCCAGTTTGTTCAGTTAGGGGTACAGGTAGTACATGCAAGTTTCTCTGGCCAGAGACCAACACATTCTTTTCTCAGTCCAGTGTGGCTCCAATTACTGTCCTATATTAATAAACAGACCACCTAGACTCTATTTGATCACAATACTCAGGTTCTGGGCAGCCCCCGTGGCGCAGCGGTTTAGCACCGCCTGCAGCCCAGGGCATGATCTTGGAGACCCTGGATCGAGTCCCACGTCAGGCTCTGTGTATGATGCCTGCTTCTCCCTCTGCCTGTGTCTCTGCCTCTCTCTCTGTGTCTCTATGAATAAATAAATAAAATCTTTAAAAATAAAAAATAAAAAAATAATACTTAGGTTTCTGAAGTTCTACATGACTAAAAATGGGTAAGCTGAACTCTGTCAACTAGCACTTTTTATAATATTCCTTCTGAAGGTTTATTTTCATATAAGTTTGCTAAATCCTTTAGACTCAAAAAATGTATCTTCTTTTGGTCGACTTGACAGGCCTGAGAAGGGAAAGTTGGCTTAAATGACTTGTCCAAAGTCATATAACTAGTGAGAAACAAAGCCATGTCCCAGCTCAATATTTATTATGCACATAAATGCTCTTTCCAGAATCCAGTGCTCTTGCCCATTTTCATGAAACTTTCTTTGAGCCACTATTTTAAAAACCAACAATTTAATTACTATATTTGCTCCTACACGAATGTATTGAAATTTTGTGAAATAACCAAAATGTAGTTAAAAGATAAGAAATATCAAGAAATTGAATATATATTTAGAAACAGGATAATTAATTTTATAAAAATCAAGATATATATTAGATTATACAAAGAGGTAACATATTCAAATGAAATCTTATTTTATAAATATTAATTGTATATAAAATTTAAGTATGAATACCCATTGAAATATTGTTTGGGGCAGAGGAAAAGTGATGTGGCCCAGAAACATACCCACACCCTTCCATCACAAGACCATTAGCTAATAGAGCAAGCACTCACCAACACAAAGTATGCTCAGTGATGCACCTGTGAGCTCTGGTCTCCAGTCCAGTATGAATGGAGGAAATGGTAGCATATATTTAGGGCACTTTGTTATCCTCTGAAATAGTTGTGTAATCTTGGGCTCTAAATCCCTGATGGTTGGAAATTTCACTTCTGAGACTTTACAACACTCAATAAATCTCTAAATGATTTTTCTTCTTCAAGATATTTTCATTATTTATTCAGTCAGCAAATATTGACCTGTTGTCCAGGGATACTCGAGATGAGCACATTTATCCCTGGACTTGCACACAGACACTTTTGTTTTGATCTTTTAGATACAAGTACAAAAGTGTTTAGTGCTCTTGGGTCCCAAGGAAGGCTCCTAAAAAACATGGATGGAGAACAAGGTTCAGGTAGCCCTCTAAAAATTTTAAATGGGTACTCAGATTTTAAGACAAAATGAGTTCTATATCTAGGAAGAAAGCATATGCACACAAGCCTTATTCTTCCCTTGTATAAATAATGCCCTGGGATAAGCAGGTTGGTTGGCATAATGCATCCTTGTATGAGAAAGTCACTAAATAACATTGTTCTAAATCAGTTATATTCCAGAGAGGGTTAAAAATGTTCAGAACACAGAGCTGCTTAAGAAACAGCTATATGAAGATTTGTTGGGTGGTATATGTACACTAACACTTTTTCATTTTCACAGCAACCTGAATTTTGCAAGTCAGAAAAGAAAGGAAATTGGAATGGCATGCCAACCAGACCTCCATCTGTATGGGTAAGAAGCATCACTAGGTTTACCCTCTACCTCTACCTGCGTATGATTACGCAGGGGGAAGACAAAGAGTGTAAGGGAAAGAAATCACCTCCCCCAGGACACAAGAAGCAGCAGAAGGAAAGAAGCCACAAAAAGGAAAGAATCTCTCTCCCCCCGCCCCCGCTCTGCCACCCACATCTACATTTGGTGCCAAATGCTCCCAGCATTCCTTTGGACTCCAGAGATTCTCTTATTAGGACTCCAAGAGTTCACTGAAGTGAAAATTACACCAGAAGAAAGGGGTGGGTATCACATGAGAACCTAAGTTCCAGTATTTGACTGAGGACTTTTGGAGACATGAGACAATGCAAGTATCAGCAAATTAAAACAATAGATGAAAGCAAGTTAAAGAGGTAGACAGCCATGATGCAACCATCCTAACTCAGATGAGCACATTTGCAAGACATGGTGGCAGCTTGGCACCAAGCCATGTGAGAAGGCAAGACAAACTGGAATTGGAGGGACCTGGAGTCAGAATGAACCTGGCTTTGGGTCACCACCCCATCTAGATCATTCTTGGTCATCTGACAATGGGGAATCTGTGTAACTCAAAGTCCTGCTGGTTTGGGCAGAATCTCAGTTAGTAGCTGAGAACAAGATCTGAGGAGGACAGTATGAAACCCAGAGCAATAAAAATTTATGAAGGTTGTTGGTAGCTCTGCTAGAAATCTAAAAATCAAGTTCTTTTGTGATTTTAAATTGTTGGAAAGCAGATGAGTGAGGAAAGAGATGCAAGATGGAAGAAAGACAGGAGCTGGAGAAGAGGAAGGTGTAGTCATTGGAGGGGGCAGAGTGGAGAGAAAGCTATGTTCTCCTCCTGCCCCTGGTTGTCCCTGCCCCCCTAGCCCTACCTACTGAGATCAGCAAGTAAATCAGGGAAGATCTCAAGTATCAGAAAAGAGCTGTGGCTTAGCAAAATCATGGAGTTGAAGTTCTGAATAAATGTGCTCTGCAGCTGAAACCACTTGTTCTTCATCTTTGCATCAGAGGAGAAAAATCACAGGGAAGGTAATAAACAGGATCATTTTAAAAATAAGAGTTAGTTGGTAGATTACCACAGTAAGAAGATAAAGAGTCAGGGAAATCAGATGGTACCAAAATCCACATTAACAAGAGTTGAAGAAAACCCGATACCATTTACATTCCAAGTCAAATAATGAGGTGTCAGCAAGGCATCAGCTGGAAGACAAAAGTTGGAAAATTATTCTTTTTTCTGCTTGTAGCCAAAGCTCTAGTTGAAAATTAAAGACAAAATCTTGCACCTGGCAGTAGAGATCCTTAATGATCTCCATCAGCAGAAAACTAAGATTCTGTTAAAGGGTCTGACTCAGAAAGCTCATAAGCCAGAGAGAAATAACAGAGGTTGTCAGTTGCAGAATGGGATGTTCACAGAGAATTCGAGAAATGAGGGTGAGCATAGTGAAAATAGATTGCAT